TTAAACAAATAAGTTGGATATGTGAAGGACAAAAAAAAGTCACAGGATATTGGGGAAAAGGAAACATTTTCACAGAGAATAGAGGAATGTTACAAAATAAAGAAAAAGAAAGAAGGGAGAACCATGTGGCTTTGACTTTAGCAGAGTGACCAATGGGGAAAGCACGGAGGTCCTAAGTTGGGAAAGGGTCCAATTGAAAAGGGTCATAAAAAAAAAAAGCTACAGCTTTTATAAATGCCTTAAGACAAATAAAGCAGTGGCCACCCTCTTTAAGGGACCCCCCCACCCCACCCTGTCTCTCCATGCCAGGAGAGACAGTCTTAGAATTAGAACTAGGGTTTTAGAAATAGCATCTGTTTGCAATAAAATTTCTTCTGCTTGCAATAAAATTTCTGTACTCGCTACCACCTTTTGTCCATGGCTTCATTCTTTGAATTCATCTGGACAAGAACCCAGGAAAGAAATCACCCTTGTAACCCTGCTCAATAAAAACCCCGAATTAGTTGGTGCATTGGCTGGGAACTTAGAAGCTGACCTCTTTACATCAAACAGTGAGCATATGAAGGACCCACAGATTCTATCCCTTCCTCTGCTATCCCTTTATAATTTTGCAGACATTATTAGGCATCTGCCAGCCACCTAAACCTGGCTGCCATCTTATGCAGGTATTTCTCCTTTATTCTCCCTCCCATACTCACGCTCCACCTCTAGGGCCAAATTAAAGAGGGCATTGGTCAGTCAAATTAAGAGCCACAAGGGTGACTACCACATAAAAAGTCTCCCATGGGAGGTTAAACTGGTGATAGGTCAGGTTAGAGTATTTGGCTTCCCACCAGTTGCAAGACAAAGCCTGGCCATTGATTAAATGAGTGCTTGGATCCAGCACTGAAAAACAAATGCAGCAAGTCCTCCCTCTTGAATGTCCTTATGTAAGGGCAAAGTGGGGGTGCCTGGTCAATCCCTAAGACCAGCAGAGGCCTCATAGGAATACAACTGTAATTAAACTTTGCCCCACCGGGGAGTGCACATAAGAGTTGGTCACTCACTTGCCCTAGCTGATTTTGCTCAGTGGATAGAGTGTCGGCCTGCGGACTAAAGGGTCCCAGGTTCAATTCTGGCCAAGGGCACATGCCCGGGTTGTGGGCTTGATCCCCCCAGTAGGGTATGTGCAGGAGGTAGCCAATCAATGATTCTCTCTCATCATTAATGTTTCTATCTCTCTAACCCTCTCCCTTCCTCTCTGAAATCAATAAAAGTATTAAAAAAAAAAAAAGATTTTGTCACTCAGCACTCTGGGCCCTCACAGTTGTCCTAGACAGCTGGGGAGAGAAACCAAGACACATATGTGAAATCAGCACAGTTGGACCCACAACACAAGTCCACTCTCCGACCCAGATCCCACTCAGCCTTTTCTTCTGCTTTCTATCTCAGTGGTATTAGGTCAGATGGCATCCAGCCAGGATCCCTTTGTTCATAACCAGTTCGGCCCCCAGTATGACCACTGTCTCCTCGGTCCAGACCCAACTAAGCCTAAATTCTCAGTCTCCATTTGTACAAGCCTCTTTGATATAGAGGGAGTCAGAGTCCTACGAAACCTCCTAGGCGAGGTAAATATTCCCCAAGACATCAGTTGGGGGGCAGCCATCTTCTTCCCACTCCTAGCATGTGATCCTGGCCCTGAATCTTCTCGGCAGACATACCAGGAATTAATTACAGGTCTCTGTCATTTCTGCCACTACCCCTGTGAAGGTTTTAGTCTTTTAAGTATTTACTCTCAGTCCAAGCGGGTTTTTCCCAGGCAGTTTTACTGTGTACAGAATTAGAGGTTTTATTGCACCTGAGGGGCCAATTCCTCAGGTGGAAGAGGATACTTGATTCATTAGGCATGATAAAGGCACAATCCTGCAGGAGGTTAATGATCAATGCCTCCTGATGGGAGCATCCCGGTGGGGGTTAGTTTAAGTTCAGAAGGGCTCTCCAGAGCCCTTGGAATTCTAGGTTGGAACTCAAAGTAATCTGCATGCAGCAGATATTAATATCAGCCTTACAAGAGGGCCTGAGGGTGTTAGAGAAATATTCCTATCATTGGGCACACAGCAGAAAGCAAACTTGGATATGCACCACTTCCCTCAGGACAGGGAGAGTAGAAAGGATGGCTCGGCATGGGCGCGGGTCCCCGAGTTCAGAGAGTAAGTATGGATAAGTCTGCCAGACCCTCATCTGCGACCCTACATGGTGAGGCAATCTTTTACTCCTTGCCAGTGAGAACTCCCAGTACCCTTAGCCAGGAAGGGGGCATCCCCCTCAGGGCAAAGGGAGAGTCACAAAGGATGCTGAATGTCCTTTTGTGTGTTCCCTTATAGATGGGAAGTGTGTTGTCCACACTGCATAAAGACAGACCCTTAGGGTGTATTCTTAAGAATTGGGATGATTTCTACTCACAAACGTTAAAGAAGAGATGTTCTGCACTCAGGCCTGGCCCCAGTATCATCTTTCAGATGGGGAGTGTTGGCCCCCAGAGGGAAGCCTTAAGTATAACACCATCCTGTAGTTAGATCTTTTCTGTAGGAGGGGAGGGAAATGGTCAGAAGTCCCATATGTCCAGGCTTTCTTTGCTCTAAGGGACAAGCCAAATCTATACAAGAACTATAAACTTGATCACTCCCTCCTGGCAATAGTAACCCAAAACCCACCAGAGGTAAAAAAGAAGAATGAAAAGGCTCCAGTACCACCAGAGCCCTTTTGCCCTCCATCTGAATCCCCATGTGAATTATTTTGTCTCCCTTATCTTGGACTTCCAGAAAAAGTGCCTCCACCGGCATAAAAGCTAACACCCAAGACTGTCCCTACACAGAATCACCCAGGAGGCCTCTACACCCTTATAGAACAAGTGGGTGAATTTGGGTGTATCAGAGTACAGGCCCCTTTCAGCCTTAAGGACCTGAGCTAAATAAAGAAAAACCTGGGTAAATTCTCACATAATCCTGATAGTTAAATTGAGGTCTTTCAGAGCCTAAATCAAATATTTGACCTATATTACCAGGACTTAATATTCCTTCTAGAGCAAAGCTTGTCCCACGAAGAGAAGGAGATTTTGGCAGAGGCTCCAAACTTTGGCAATAATTATTATGTTTCTTGTGTACAAGACATCACAAATCCTGAAGAGAAAGAGAAATACTTGACAGGGTCTCAGGCAGTTTCCCTTGCAGACCCAGAGTGGGATCCTGATGTTAACATGTGGAAAATAAGACACTGTCAGGCTTCTATAATAATAAAAGGTAATATGCTAATTAGACCAGACAGCCAAACGACCTTCCAGACAAAGCCATGGCTGCGAGGGCCGAGCCCCTTGCACGAATTTCATGCATCGGGCCTCTAGTACATAATAAAAGGCATCAGGAGAAGCAAGTCTAAGCCTATTAATTACTCCAGACAAACAACCATCATCCAGGAGATTAATGAAAACCCCAGCACATTTTTAGAAAAACTCAGGGAGGCATTGATTAAGCATACCAATATAACCCCAGATTCATTAGAGAGGCAGTTAATTTTAAAAGATAAATTTAGCCCTCGCCGGTTTGGCTCAGTGGATAGAGCGTTGGCCTGCTGAAAGGTCCCAGGTTCGATCCCGGTCAAGGGCATGTACCTTGGTTGCAGGCACATCCCCAGTAGGAGGTGTGCAGGAGGCAGCTGATAGATGTTCTCTCTAATCGATGTTTCTAACTCTCTATCCCACTCCATTCCTCTCTGTAAAAAATCAATAAAATATATTTTTAAAAATGTTTTAAAAAAAAGATAAATTTATCATTCAATCAGATCCAGACATCAGGAGAAAACTACAAAAATTGGTTATTGGTCCAAGAGCACCTTAGACAATCTCCTGAAAGTCGCCACCTCTGTGTTCTATAATAGAGACCAGGAGGAAGAGGACAAAAAGGACAGGAGAAACCAGACCAGAACTAAAGTCCTTTGTGCCATGCTTTGGGAGAACAAGGGCCCCCAGTCAGAGCCAAGAGGCAGGTGGTCAGTCCCAGGCACCTCTTACAACTATGGCCAGGTTGGACATAGGGCTGGGTTGCCCCAAGGGGCATGGTGAACCCCCTAATTTATGTTCTGTCTGTCAAGGAAACCACTGGAAGTTGGACTGCCCTTGGAGATGAAGGTCCCTTGGGGCAGGGCAGCAACCTAGCTGGCCCAACAGGACTAATGGGGCCTGGGGTCTCCCCACCTGGCTCTTCATAGGACTGTCATTTTCACCCAGGAGCCCCGGTAAGCCTGACAGTTGAGGGAAAGAAAATTAATTTCCTCCTCGACATAGGAACCACTTTCTCCATACTCTCTAACCCTAGTCAATTATCTTCAGAGGCAATAACCATTATAGATGTATCTTAAAGGCCAATAAAGAAATATTTATCGCCCTAACCGGTTTGGCTCAGTGGATAGAGCGTCAGCCTGTGGACTGAAAGGTCCCAGGTTCGATTCCGGTCAAGGGCATGTACCTTGGTTGCGGGCACATCCCCAGTAGGGGGTGTGCAGGAGGCAGCTGGTCAATGTTTCTCTCTCATCGATGTTTCTAACTCTCTATCCC